GGATTGCAGTGTTTTTTCGAGAAGAGGTATGATACCTATTGATGAACCTGCGTTCAAGAGTAATTTTGGCCTTTCACTTGTCCTTGAGAAGGGAGCAACAATTCAATGCACCCATTCCGCAGAAACGGCCACTAGAGGTCTGTTGCTACATTTACGCACGTTGTGCGAAGGCTCCCAGCATTATAAACAATAGCTCAATGAAACATTTTGCCAGCCATTGTTTTTTCAGGTTGTCCGGTGTAAGAAGGGCCGCAGGCTGTGGGGGCCTGTTGTGGGACGTTCCCTGTAATGTGCAGCAGGGCACCTCGTTTACTGAAGAGGAAGTAGCACAAGATTTTTTTAGTGCAAATTTCAATTGAAATATTTGCCAAACTACTTACTCTAAATATCTGCATTCGAAGAATCGGAAGAGCTTAGGAGGAAATTACCATATTGACAACCAATCTCTTGTTTCGTATATAATTATAGCGGTTGCTCTCTGGCCTTAATTTAAGACAGACGCGAGCTGCAATGTATGTAAAGGCTTAAAGTAAGAGTCCAAAAATAGTTGACCTCCTCCTGTCCTCAGACCGCATGAGCGTGGAGCTCATGGGCTGAGTGTTGCGCGGAGGAGGCAGCCTGAAATGGGGTTGCAGCGCACCTCGCTGTGGGTGGTGGACCAAGCCACCCTCACGCGCGCAGACGAGGTTTCCTTTGCTGCATGTTTTACCTCTGAATACCTTATAGAACGTTTGCATTCGCCTACACGCAACCTACCAAGGCGAGGTGACGGCTCCTGAGCTAACTGTAGGCAGACCGTGCTACAAATAATACTCTACCAAGTAGTCGTACCAATAAACTGAACCGATTGTAAAGATAAAGGGTATAATCAATACATTTTGGGCGAGACAAATGTTCAAAAATGCGAAAAACTAAGTTCTGACTGGTTGTTGGACACAAGACCGCCGGGCACATTGAATAGCTTGCGAGGTCGGTCTCCTGTCCCCGCGGTGTTAACTTGTATGGTTGCTGTTTGCATCCACTATGCGGGTAGCACAGGCTGAAGGTTCCGTGTGATGGTCTGCATTAACAGCGTGTCTGTATCCTGTTGCACTTCTGTCGGAAAATCTCTAAGTCGAATATACTATTCATGATCTACGCCTCTACACTAATGAATATATAACGCAACTAATAAATTGTAGCATTCATTCACTACATTCCCTGTAACGGGAATCCTCTATCTTAGCTGAAGCCCTTCCTCAGCAGCGATAGAGTCGAAATAATTGAGAAAGGAATTCCCCAAAGCTAACCTTTCATCGAGTCTCCAGATGCATGGGGTGCAGAGCCAAGCCCTGGCGCTACATTCACTAACATTATAGACGATTATTGAACACGTTATCCCGCCATCCATCGTTGAGCTTAGTGGGGACTGCCGCTGCTTAAGTCTCTGAAGAGTAAGAAGAACGCGATTTGGAGAGCAAAAGGGGATCCCCACAGTTAAGTGCAGTTGCAGACCACTGCACTTGGCGTGTAGGAGAGTGTGTAGGCTGGCACCTTACTGATGTCCTTGATATAGTTT